CGCTCCCGCTTCCGGCGCCGCGCGCCGCCAGGCCCGCCCCCGCCCTCCACGCTGACCAATCGCCAGTGCCGCTGCCCGGCCCGCCCGCCCCGCCGGCCAATGGCATTCGGGTTGCTCTCCCGCCCCGGGGAAACCCTCCTGCGCCGCCCGGCCGCCCCGGTCCTCCGTCCTGAGTGTCCCCCCCACCCCGGGTCCCTCTCGCCGGGGTTCCCCCCAGCCCGGGGTCCTGCCCCCTCCAGTGCCGCAGAGCTGGGCGCCCCTTCCCGGAGCGCTGTGAAACACAGGCGGGACAAGGGCTCCCTTCACAACATCCGCCTTTACCGGCGGCCTTTACTGGCGAGCCGCCCCGCTACAGGGCACAGGTGTCACCGGAGCTCACCCGGCTGCAGCACAACAGGGGCCTTAAACAGCAAATCCGCACCCAAACCCGCGCGCAGCGATGCTGGGAACACCCAGTGAAGGCGCCTACACAACAGAGCTCTTCTGCAGCGCCGCGGCTGCACCTCGGGAGCGGCGGGCCTGGTTCACCTCAGCTCACACAACTGTGTCCCCCTCTCTGCTCCTTGCAGGATGTGCTGCTTTTCCCAGGAAGGGCGAAGGTTTTGCATCCAGCTCCCCTCCCAGCAGTTGCTTCCTTCTTCATCCCATCAACCTGCAAGCACCACAAAGGAGTCATCAGGTCTGCCAGAGGCCACCCCGTGCCGCCAGCTTGGGGCACAGTGCCCGGGGGACGGCGCAGCCCCGAAGAAGGGGCCTCGCACACGGTTGTTACCTTCTGCCCCAGCCCAGCCGGTCCCCGGAGCACAGGAGGGCCTCCCCCAGCATCTGCAGCTGCTCCAAGACCTCCCGCTGCATTTCCACGGCCATGCGGTGCACGTGGTGGCTCGAGCTGTTGTACATGACGGCGTTCTGGAACATGAGCATGAGGTCGCGCTGGAACTGGGCGCTGGTGTGAATGTGGCCCTTGGACAAGTTTCTCTTTATGCTGGTTAAATCCATGGGTCTACAAAATACAAGGCAGAAGTAGGGATTCTTCAGGCTCTGCCAGAAATTGCTTGTTTTCTTTCTAGCACACAGCTACATTCAATCAATTTTATTGCTCATGACAGAGGGGGAGAGTGAGAAATGTTTGTCTTCTAAGTCAGACAAAAATAAGTTTAGCCAGTGCGACACTTGCCATCCAATCAACTTGGCAAGCCACTGGCAATTACTTGTGAAGAAAGTTTGATGTGCAGCTCTAGAGAAGGCAAGCAGAGCAACTCTAGTAATTAGTCTTTGTGAAGTGAGCCCAGGTCTTGATGGAAAAAGAAGATACTAAAATAGGTATCTATTAAAACTCCGTAAAAATCGAATGGTACCACCAGCAAAAATAGCCGTGCTGGCAAGTGGGACATGATGGGGAATAAATATGACTTCTCTTATTTTGACAGAATGAGAAGATGAATGGCTGCAGAGAGGACAACTCTGACCAGAATAGAATATGATTCAGCTCTGAAAAAAAAATGCCCTTAATCTATCTGGGAAATATTCTTATAATTCACTTCTCCACTGCAAGTAAAACATCTGGGCAGAAAGCAATGGCAAGAAGAGGGTACTCACTGAGAGATCTTCTTCCCAACCCTAAGGGAAAATATGGGGGTTAAGAGAGAGTTGGTTCTAGGGGTGAGTCCCCCTACGCAGGCAGGGGTAGGGCTGCGGTCACAGTGCCTGCAATAGTGCAGTACTGGCAAAGGACAGGAACAATCCATCTCAGTACTGGGCTCAGTGCAGACTTCAAGGTCCTAATCACCTGGAAGGGTGTTTTATTAAAATAAATCAGTGGGATACACTGCTGACAGCCAAGCTCTGCAGAGCAGAAGGACACAGCCACACTTGTCTTCAAGGTCAGGGCAGGCAGAGGGACAGGAGGAAACACTCCCTTGCAGGGAGTATAGGGGAGAGACCAGAGGCTGATCTTACTCAGTCTTTCTTGTTCCTAGTGTTGGGTACCGGACAAAGCAGAGAAAACAGACAGAAACCAGCTAGTAAAGACTCCCACAAACTCACCTCTTCACAACATCACTGTATCCAGGGGCTTGTTTGTCTGACACTGCCTTCAGGAACGGGCCACTGTACCTACAGGGGCAAGCACAGCAAATGGCCTCTGAACGTTTCCAAGCACAGCACTGCAACAAGGACCTATCCCTGCTTGTCACGAGTCTGTCAGCACACAGCTCTCCCTGCTGCAATAGCAGCCAGGGAGAGACAGGTCAGCCTGCAGCAGCTGTCCTGAAGGGGAGGACAGGGCCTGTGACAAGAGAGATGGAACTCAGGACAGCTTGGACAGGAGCCAGACCATGCCAAACCCCTCATCCCCACACACCTGTGACTGGCTATCACCTTCCAGATGGACAGGAGAGTCCTCTTGAAGAGCAAACGCTGCAGGGGGTTATCCCAGCTCAGCTGCACCCTGCAGAGGGAACATAGTTTCAGATGATCATGCTTGAGACAAACGACAGGACAGTTCCTCTGCTGATGCCCAATGCATCCACTTGGACAAAGATCACAGATTCTTTAGTGTAGCTACTCAAACCACCTCAATGTGAGATGGTGGAAGCATCCTGCATCTCAGATTGGGGCTTACTACCTGGGACACAAGAAGATAAAGGCCAACAGGCAGAAACAACAGTTGAGCTGAACTAAAGAGCAGATCAAGTTCTGGTGGTTATTTGACTTCTCATCCCCATTTTTTTTCCCCTCCTCTTTCCTTTAAAAGGCAGCTCAGGTAATCACACAAGCAGAAGCCTATCTCCTCCCACCCCAAAACACTGATAGTCTCATACAAATGGCACAAATTATTTCCTTCCCTCCTCTTCTCCCGGGATATCTCACCTCATATACTTGTTCTCATGTACACTCAAGCAAACAGCTGTTACACTGCCCTCTGCAAAGCATCAGGCCGAACTACTCACAGCTGTGTGGAGCTGGGACCCACAGACCCCAGCGGGGAGGCTGCACAGGGGCTCTCTGTATCATCTTGAGGCAGGGCCTGATTAATCTTCTCCTGGGGACCCAGCTCATCTGCAGCTTGTTCCCCGAGTGCCTCTTCAGCCTTGTCCTGAAGAACAGAGAGAGAAAAAAAAAAGAGAGAGAGAGAGCTGAAATGGAGCCCATCACCCAGAATCCTTCATCTACAAGCCCGCCTGCTGCCTGTTCCCTTGCTGCAGCCAACCTCAGATGGGAGCTGGCACTCTCTGTGCTGCTCCGGAGGGTGCTGTTTGCCCTAAGCTCTTCACGCCTTCGTCATGCTGCCGAAGACTCCAGCAACACCCAGGTCTGAGTTCTCGTACCATAACCAATTCTAACTGCTTCAGAGCACTGTGGTGCTGAATGATCTCCAGCATCGTGTCAGTCTCCTTGTCTAGAGAGAGTCATGGACAAAGAGAGCACATTTGGGAGCTGAGGTAAGACTGCCTCAAGACACAGATGACAGGAGCACAGCAGGATTGTTTCCTTGCAAACTCCCACATTGAACAGGCAGCCAGCAAACAGAATGGTGCTGCTAACATAATGATTTGCCAGTACAGTGTACAGGGTGAAAGAAGCATAAAGAGAGGATACTTTGGAGTCCAAAAATGGAATTACACTGTACAGGAACACCTGAATTCCTTCACAGGAGACCTGAAGCATGGAGCAGACTCCATGGAAAGAAAGTAGATATTGTGCTATACAGGACTTTGATTACTGGTTAGACCTCTAGCGAATTGCCTGGAGTAGCCCTGTCCTGGCTGAACAAGTAGAAATGACTCTCAGGGTTCCCACATTTTCATCTCTCCTATCTAAATTTGCAATGGAACAAACATGTGTGGGCACTGGAAAAAATGGCACTGTTCTTCCACTGTTGTTATGTTCATCTGTCTGGGCAACATCTTGCAGGCTGGTAAAAGCCCAAAGCCCTCTGGACACGGCAGTGCACAAAGTCATGCTAGACAACGCCTGCTTCCAAGATATGACAGTCCCCAGGAGCAGATGGTTCCTGCTATCACATCCTCGTGGGCCTGAAACCAGTCAAGCTGTGTGCTGCATAACACAGCAGTGAGAGCAAACCGAGTATTACCAGTTCTTCTGGTAATAAAAAACTTCTTTCCACTGCCAAATTACTCTTCCTACATCTGAGTGTTTGATCTGTAATAATCTTGCTGTTCATAAAGATCCATATTGATACATTAAAAGCATCCCTCCCTGTATACATTTCTTATGCATTTCCCTCCGTCTCTTCCTCCCCACTTGGATCCCAGGACTTTCCCATCTCTCCTCTGAAGCTGTTTTCCTCTATGGTCTGTCTTTCACTGAGGACCTGAGGCTCTCTTAAGACCACCTCTCCCATACCTCTCCTTCTGGTAAATGCTCTTTCTTATCTTCTTCTGACGGGGTCTGCAGGTGACTTTCTTCCACTTCTGAGACTGCTGACCCCATGCTCTTTTCCTGGCAGCTTACATCTTCCCCCTTATCCTGTTTCCCAGAGCCACAAAAGTCCCAGTGACTCTGTGCTGAATCTGTGCTGCTAATGCGGAGAGGTTCCATTAAGTGGGTTACCTGCAACACAAAGGCTTATTGCTTCAAACTGTGAAGGCAAAGGGAAGAAGAAATAAGTAGCACAAATGCTATTTTTGATTTCACTCACAAACACTTTCCATTTTTAGAACTCTGCAAAAATCTTCTGATGCAGCCCTGTGCTGTTATTTCAGTGTCAGCTCCCCGACATCTCAGTACTCTGGGGTGTTCTGGCAAAGCAGCTCCCTGGCTGACCTGCCAGCTTTAAATGGGAGCAAGGGCTACACTTGGATCAGGGAGCGAGTGAGCTCAGGGCATTTGCTCCTCACCCAGGATAATAAAAACAGTATTTTAAGAGGGCCTGGGCCATGCAGCCCCCATTGCTATAACGCAGACAGACCTACCTCTGCGAGGAACTGGAGGAGACTCTCCTGGTCACACTGCGTCACCACCTCCTGGCAGTCCTCACTGTCATCCTCCCAGAGAGGCTCACTGAACTGCTTGCACTCTTCCTCTTGGCTGCTCTCCTCTAGCTCCCTTATGGCTGTCTCTTCGGTATTCCTCCAGCTCCCCACTTCTAAATCCAAGCTTGAATCCCAGCTGAGAAGAGACTGGAAGTCGCTGTTCTTCTCAGACTCACTGAGAGACTCCGTTTCTGACCCCCAGCACATCCAGGCATGGCCCATCTGCAGACAAACAGAAAGAGAGATACGGCAATTTCTTTGTACCCTGGTCCAGAGCTGGAAACTCTGCTTCGTTTCCTGACATCCCCAGCGACCCAAAGCATGGGGCAAGTGCTGCGAGGCCCAAGCCCGCGCTCCTCGGCACACAGCAGGGCTGCAGCTCCACAAACCAACTCATTTCTGAGCAACGGAATCGCAGATTTTGTAGTGCCCTTGCTGTGCTCTCCCCGTGTGGGTCAGCGGGTGCCGGTGCCCAGGCGATGCTGGGCAGGTTTGGAGCACGCAGCTTTCTCTGATGATGTGTAAGCTGCCAAAGGGTGCCACGACATGCAGCAATGCTGGCACTCCTGTTGCAAGCGATCAATGATCCCAAGGATAACTCACTGAAATTCCATTTGCTGATGAGTTAAAAACTTTTTATATTGGGAATACCTTATTGTAAACACTATAGAAACTTTGTTGTGACAGACGTGATTGAACTGGATGGTGGTTTCCTGTGTACCTCATGAGGAATGTAACCATGAATAGCCACACACGGACAGGAGACAATTCTATACCTATTTTAGAAGTTAAAAATAGCATTTTTTTCGAGGAGGAGGAAACCATTCATTTCGTCTTTGTTCATTAGTCTATGCCCAAGTCTTTTCCACTGTACGAGCCCACGATGACCCCCACAGAGTCTGGGGAATTGGCTGCGGAGGCACAGGAACAACAGTGAATGGCTATTACGAAAATCTCTGTTTTGCCACTGAACTTGCCTGCCTGGATGCTGCACCTGGGGGGATCCTAGGCATTCATCAGCTGCGTTCTTACAGTTCTCAGTTAATTACGTGCAACCTAATTTTTCCAGGGTTTTGAACAACCAACTTTCTCACTGACTTCCTTTCAAATTCTCAGGACTGCTAACACAGCTGCAAGCCCAACCTACAGGGCATAAGTAGAATGGGTTTGGGATGAAAAAAACTCATTTGCTAATATTAGGAACTAACACCCAGAGGTAGGAGCAGAAAGGCTGTACTTCTGAAACCCATTTGAAGTTAACTTCAGCAGAAGCAGATGAAATCTGATGAGGTAACAGATAAAACTACTCGGTCTCAGCTTCCAGTTAAAGGAGTTGGGCAAACTATGACTTCACCTGAAGAGCAACGGTGCCTAAAGCGCTTTACGGCACCATCAGCAGCACTGGCTGCACGAGCACGGCCAGACAGCTCAGCTGAAGAACAGCAAGCCTCAGGCTAGGGTAACCCAGCCGCTTGTGAACATCGTATTGTCTTCAAGCTGAGAGGGATAAGCATTTGAAAATCAGCAAACTGAACCAGCGTGGGCATAAGAACTGATTGAGAAAATACTTGGCCTTACATTACTAAGTCTTGGGATACTCAGGATGCTGGAGAACAGAAAAGTGGCATTAGCGCAGGGCGAGCAGGATGAGTGAAATAACTGCAGACCACCTAGTTTCAGACCAATTCCATACAAAATATAAGGGGTAGAGAAATATAGAATTCAACTTCTTAATGAAGAACTACCCTACAGACTTTACATAAGTTGTCAACAAGGAATCATTATCTGAAGGGAAAATTTTAGTTCAGTTTGCGAGGATTAGACACTGTGCAGCCAAGAAGCTGTTAGAAGTAAGAAGACAGCCTTTAATGGGAATTTACTTGTCAAAAGAAGGGAAATGATAAAAGCCCAAATGCCAGCAAATGAAATGCAAAATGCACGATAAAATAGCATCCTCCCTCCAAAAAAAAAAAAAAAAATCTGAAGAAGTTTACTAAAGACATAAAAGCAAATAATAACAACAAATCTCATCAAAAACCACCAGAAGCAGAACATCTGCCAGAAGATCAGTGGGGATGACACACAAACAGTGCCGGCATCTCAGGAGAAAGTAGGACTGGTTGGAGAAACCAAATAATCATCATTATCAGTAGTTGCCACAGAGGAGATCATAAATATCCAAAACAGAGACTTTTTTCTTAAGATGGATCCGAGGGACTGCTTCCAATTCAAATGTCAACAGGGGAGGTTTTTCAAACAATTTGACGGCAGGAGTAAACCCTAGAACCAGTGGCATTCACTAATGAGTCCTCAAGAAGCTTTAATATGATATGAACCAGCCTGTCACTTAAAACTACCCCCAGCACAAGCCCAGGAATGAGGCAATTGTGATGTCTGTCTTCAAGAAGGTGGACGGTGAGGGCTGCAGCACAGAAAGTCTGAGCTCTGCACCAGACAGATTAGCAGAAAATATTATGAAGGACAGAATAAGTAATTAGAACACAAACATGATGAATTGGGAAAGAGGCTGCATGGCTCTGTAAAGGAAAATTGTATTTTAGATTTTTAATGATCTTAAACATGGTCATTAAAGGCTCTTAAATTGCCACAGGACAAGTGGAAAGGCTCTTTGAAGAAAAAAATACCTGGTTAAGAGAAGAAACCAAGGGAGGAATGAACAGCAATTCTTTCCATAATGAAAGCAGGTCACTAGTGGGACTGATGACAGTCTACCCACATGCTGCAACCTCGAATTGCTCAACCCAGCCGAACACAGCAGAGGCGTTAGAGAAGACGGAGCCAGGCTCCTCTCAGCGGCCAACAGCGAGAGGACAGGAGGATCACAAGCTGCACAGAGGAAATTCAGACTGCATATAAGGTAAACATTTACTCCTTGAGGGTGGGTAAGCACAGAAATAAGTTACTCCGTGAGGCTCTGGAATCTCCATCCCTGGAGACTTTCAAAACTTGACTAAACAACGCTCCAAGCAACCTGAACCACCTTTGAAGCTAGTACTGCTTTGAGAAGCAGGTTGGACTAGATGTTCTTCAGAGATTCCAACCTAAATTATTTTATAAAGTATCAGACGGCAAAAGAACCCTGTAACTTGTTCCACAAGGAACAAGCAACTTGTTCCACAACCTGTAATTGCTATAAATTTGCACCCAATTTTAATAGTGAAAGGCACAATTTCAATAGTGAAGGACATTAACTGGTAAACAAATAAGCAAAGGAGTAGATTCCGCACTTTCAGCATCAAATGCAGAGTGACCGTTAGCAGAATTACAACTCAGCCAGGCATTCAACTCAACACAGTGGGCCCAACCAACTGGAAAACAAAATCTGTGAAAAGCAAGAGTTTTTACTATATGATCCTGCTGGTCTAAATTGTAATGACTCTGGCTCCTGCAATTTGCGGGTCAGAAAGCTGAAGCCTATGCATGCTGCACAAACAAAGTGCAGACCAAACCCAGCTACTTCAAACGCCAGCAAAGATCACAACCAATTTTTTCCCCTCGGAAGATCATGGGGGCAGAAACTATGCCAGCTTTGGCTCACAGGTCACATGAACAGAAAACAAGCTGGTAACTTGAGGACTGCCAGAGGGGATTCAAACTCAAGTTTAAACATCCATGTTGCTGAGGAAAACAACAGTCATCTACCATAAAGAGAAACATTTAGAGCTCCAGTGCCAAACCAGAGAAGAGTGCTGAAACCAGATACTGGCCTGCCTAAAGTTGCTGGAACCACGGGAGATTTTCACTTGCTTACCCCTTTCAATACTCTGGGAAACAAATGTGGGAAATAAATGTAATAAGGCTCTGACAAGACTAGTATTTAGTTTTTCTGAGATTCGATCTCCCCCTGTATTTCATAACAGGCACCTCATCCTTACGTCCTTACACACTCAAGCCTTACACACGTACAGACATGATCCAAGAATTGTGCACCATTTTGATAAAGCTCTGAGGTGCTCGTTTGCCATAGGAATAACTGAGAGTGGGTTAGATCAGCAGATATGCAAAATGGGTAGGCGCAATGCTATCGAGACAGGGCCGTTCACCGCAGCGCTGCAGGACTAAGCACACCCCACAACGGATTTATTCTTGACTTTAATATACATACACATTTACACATCACTAGTAAAAATCTGTACACTTCACATTACAGTACATACGAGCCACCAGTTGCTAGCTAACACCAGAACACTGATGAAGCCCAAGACTTCTGCCCTAGAACAGGCAGCAGGGCTAGCCTTCCCTTCCAGGGAAGTTTCTTTGGGTTACACATTAGGAGGAGATATTGCTTTCAGAGGGGTGAGCCAAGGTGGAGCAGGTCCTGGAAAAGGAACACACGGCTCTTCCTCCTCTGGCAGTTGCAGCAGCGTCTCGCTGGACCCCCGCCCGCGCGGCGGGTGCTGGCGGTTTCCGTCACTTCTTCATCTTCATGTCGGCCTCGATGGCACAGCGACGCCCTCTGGTGCCTCCGTCCTGGTCACCGGGCAAACAGAAGCACTGGCGTTAGCAGAGCCACAAACCCCAAATCCAACAACGCTTCCTCCAGCACCCAGGGACTCCAAAGAGGAGACAGGCAAGAAGGCCTGGGGGGGCCTGGGGAGACCTGCCTGCAGACCTGCCTACAAACACCACTGTGGATACAGCCCAGGGGCTGCGATGTGCAGCCTCTCTGTGCACTGCTGCCAGCCAGGACAGAGAGGGGCAGCAAGGCTCTCCCCCAGAGGGATGCTTTTAGGGCCTGCGCCAGCGCAGGTTTTCTCCCAAGTGACATATTCTAGCTGGGCTCTTAAGACGGGAAGAGGAAACTGCTGACTAACCTACCTTATCAGCTGCTGATCCCTATGGGAAGTGATCCTCCAGTTGAGTGACCCTGGCACTAGCTCCCTAGCTTCTCCGCACAGCTGCTCTCCAAGAGTAGAAGGCGAAATGAGAGCTTCCTTTGATCCGCTGCCCTCTCCCTCTGGCTGACATGCTGACTCTCCTGGAGTACTCCTCTGTCTTTAGATACATGCGAGAAAAATAAAAAACTCTCCATCTTCCTCCCCTCTCTCCTTCCCACACTCAAAAGACCTGGGGTTTCCCAGAAAGGAATAGCTTTCCAAACACTTCCAGATCACCACAGGCATAGATCAGGACATTTCTGTTGGATATCTTGTTTTCTGGACCATGAATGATAAAAGAGTACACAGCTCATTCGT